TTTCTAAAACTTTAACAATGAATTTACTGAAAGTTTGTGTTGTTCCATCTAACCACAGTCTCCCCTGAGCTGCTCAGCTCACTAAGGACTGCAGCACTTCCAAGCTGGAGACTGTGTCAGAGCTAAATTTCTCAGCAACTGTCCTGTGCTTGCTCACAGAAAAGATCAGGGGGCTTCTGAACAAGATGTGACATCCACTTCCTTGGAGGCTGATTCCTGTAACAGCCCTCCTGCTAAAGAAGTGGTCAACAAAGTGAGGATGTGTGTAACTGGAAAGGTCATCACTGCTTATGTTCATTGAAGTGACATCTGAAGTGATTACATGCACATACCTTAATGAATCTGGCAAACACTTTATTTTCTATTTTAAGGTTAGGGCTAGATTGCTATTTTGATAGACTAACATCACTCCAGAAAATCATACTTATATTAATTATTATTCTTTTAATTTAYGCCTCTTTTACATAATTCAGACATAAAACTCTTATTTCCTGTACTCTTTGCATGACTGAAAAATGGAGCATATCAACCCTGTGAAAGGACTTTTCAGGAATAAACAAGATGATTTAAATATACAAAGTCAGTTGAAGAAAAAGTTAAAAATAACAAAAGGAAAGTCAGGAATGAGAAAAATAGATGTTCATCTGATGGCAACATATATTATGTAGGTTAAAAGTATTCTAGATTTTTTTCAGAACTTCACTGTAAATGCAGGCATTGCTTTAACAATAATAGGGAGGTGGACTGCACTGGAAGAGAGAGTATTTTTTTAATAGTATAGAAGTCACTTTTGATCTTTCAGAAGCCTGATGTGGGGGGAGAGAGGAAAATCATTTTAAGAAGAACTTAAAGCATAAGTGTTGATGACTCATGAGCAATTCTGTAACTTGAACAAAGTAAGCAAAAGGCAAAAAATGGAGGGCAACCTCTTGACAAGAGTCTAGATTTTATTATGTAAATGTCACTGTTTTCTCTGTCTGGTTCAGGCAGTTACTGCATTATTCCTTCTCACAGTCCGAATCTGACAAATCAGTCAAGCCCARTTACTGGCCTACAACAGCTCAGTACTTGAAAGATGCCATGGTGTTTTGAATAGACAGCTCATGCTTGAATTCATATTCCTGTTATTCAGACTTGAACCCCCTGATGGTACTGGGGTGTGAGACTRTTTGTCTTGGATTTCATTGGGCATTTTGGAAATGGTGCTTGCTGGCTGACATCCACCAGGAGCATTAATACCCTCTGACCAGGATCTGTTAATCATTAATGTGCTCTTGCACGCAGGCGCTGGCTCTACTGAGTCCACAGTGGGGTACGCTCAGAGAGAGGATAAAACGACATTAAAGAAGGCTACCCTGGAGCAAGGGTGTGGGAGCTGGGGACTCTCAGACAAGGAAAATCAATGCAGCTCTACTTAATCTGCTGGAATTAACAGAGATTTTGGTCATTTGCATTRAAAGGCAGATAAATGCAAAGACCTCTCTGCCAGCGCAGCTGGTGTAAGTTACTGGGATAAGTTTGCACTCAAACTCTCTCTGGTCCTTAGATTGATCCAAGTAAGTGCAAATGGCCTGCCAGCACTTAATTTTTATTTATACAATGCTTCTGCTTTGCTAATCAAGAGGTTTAACTTTGCCATGATTGCTCATAAAAATGGTGTTTTCTCCAGTCATCGATGAGGAATGGCAAAAGACTCAGTGTGTGCCCAGGGAAACCTGCGTGGAAGTTGCCAAAGAGCTGGGTACAACGACCAACAAATTTTTCAAGCCTCCTTGTGTGAACGTGTACAGATGTGGAGGCTGCTGCAACGAGGAGAGTCTCAGCTGCATGAACACAAGTACAACTTACGTGTCAAAAACGGTAAAGGAGGCTGTTCATCTGTTTTCTTTTTACCCTGGCTCACCAAAAAGGGAGGGGAAAGAGGATGTTTGGTTTCTGAGATCCTGTTATGAAAGATCTGTCTGCACTATCATAACAAACAGAAGAATTAATCTTTTATCCATGTGGAGTGAACGCAGGAGTGTGCAATAGCATTTTACATTCACGTTGCACTATTAAAAACTGTTTACGTATTTGTAGAGATGGGAAATCAGTCCCTGAGAAAGTGACTGCAGGCTCATGTGATGACCAGAAGTTTAATCCTTCTTTAAAATATTGTTCCTTGGACTGGGGACCCCTTGAGAGTATTGTCTCATGGGAATCCTTGGTATCAAATGYTTAACTCCAGGAAATTTTGTTGTGTTGAGACGCTGCATTTCAACATTACTGTCTGTGCCAAGAAGGCTGGCTAATAATTTTGGATGTGCAATTTTGCAAGACGAAAGAGGATACAAATTCATCAGGCTGGACCAGATGATCTTAATTAGCATGCCTTAGGATCTGAATGTCCCAAATCACAGATCCCTTARGAAAAGAAAGGTTTAAACCAATAGTCAATTACTAATTAGGTGCAACAGGCGATACCCAAGTTTTAATGACCAGTGCCAAAAACTGAGCATAGAGTAGCCAGACAGCTTCTTTCTGCAGACTCCCACCAGAKGCTTTGTACAGAGATATCTTGCTCCAGTTGGTGATTGAGCTGAATTCCAAGTTTAGTACTTTCAATCTTCCCTGTTGATGAAACCATCTCTGTTCATCAGCAATCTGATCTAGTGGGCAGCACCCCTGCCCATGGGAAGGGGTAAGGGGTTGGAATATGATGCACTTTGAGGTCCCTTCCAAACAARCCTTTCTATGATTCTATGATTCATACCCACAGATGAAGCACAGGAGACTGGTTCTCTTTGATGATCCTTCACCCTTGTGCATTCCTCGTTCATTTGGCGTTATAAATGAAATTCTGCTTATRGAAAAGGCTTTTCTTTAAATCAGAACAAAGATCAAGGGCAGTTGTTTCAAAAAGAAAATTTAAGCCCTCATGGGGAATGGGTCCAATTTACTTCTATATTTATTTTGTGTTTGTTGGAATGTAATTCCACCGTGTCTGGTTGTACTGGAATATAGCTGGAGTAAAATAAATCAGGGCCTGTCCTTCTTGCGTCAATGCTCATTAATTGCTTTCATTCCACACCAGAAGGAGAAAGCTGTTATGAGCTGCTGGCCACACACAAAAGACATCTGATCAGCTCAGGGAGCTAGGTCAGGCTAAAAAGTATTTATTTATTTATGTGTTTTCTGAGCAGCAGTTCATAAGTTTGTTGAAAAACGGCAGTTTTGCAGAGTGTAACATTCCTTCAGCATCCTTCAAAATAAGCATTCCCTCAAAAGTACCCAGCTAAGTTCTACTTCTGGATACACCACCATCAGTCCAGATTTATTCAGCTAATGGAATTAATCTCATATACCCATATTAGTGGGAGCATTTTTCCCTTTGGTATAAAATATCTACTGAAGGATGTTAATGCCACCTACAGTTAGACACTTAACACCTAAGTGTAAATGTCAAAGCAGTCTGGCTTGGGAATACTCAGTTCCTGCAGGTGGATGGAGCTTTAAGCCAAGACATAGTGACACACCAAGGCATGCCCAATGGGTTTGGCATTGCCTCCATGGGAAGGAGGACAGTTTGAGGGGCAGACGGAGTGTGGATCACTTCCACAGCTCCTACACACAGTAGCCCARGGAACCAGAGCCTCCACAGGGCTCCTCAAGATCACTGTTAACAATTTGGGTGCAACAAAGGCAGGCTGCTTTGCTCCTTAAGTTCCTACTATAGTCAACAGAGAGACTCTTCCAGGATGAATCCCTGCAGAGACCCAGCTGAAGCAGAATTAACTTTCCTCTATTTACTCTGTTTCTTCCCTCTATGAGGAGGCTGTGGGGGTTAAGTTAGGTCCCTAAAGATAGGGGACCTAACATACTGTGGTTATACCCAAGGACAGTGAAGCAGCTATCTCTGTAAGTGATAGAGATTCAACTGATGACTGAACCGAGAGCAAAATTCCCAACACCTGCGTCTCTCCCATTTGGCTCCAGCACTTGGTAGAGGTTTTTGAGCTTGTTTGCAAACATTTTTGAGTGGGCTTGGGTGTTTAATTGCTGTAATACAGCACTAGGATGCCTGTTTTGGCAAGTTTCTACCTTGCTGGGCATTGCTTAATCTTCAAAATCCTCAGTGCACTCTTGCTCATTTATATTTATATTTATCATAACTATCTCCAGAAAAAAAGCAAGGGTGGAAAAAATGGTGGGAAAGAATGTGAGATTTTTATTCAAAACTCCAAATATTAAATGTATAATGAAAACTGAAAAATCAATGTTATCTGTCCCACCTAGCTCTTTGAGATCTCAGTTCCCTTGACAAGTGTTCCTGAGCCTGTGCCYATCAAAATTGCCAATCACACAGCCTGTAAGTGCACATCAAACACCCAGCGACACCAGTACACCATCATACGAAGATCTGTCCAGTACCCAGAAGAGGATGGGTAAGTTCCCTCATTTGCAAACCTCTACACRTGTTTAAATWGTTYTGTTYTSACTTGCATGTTWTARTGGTCYATTCTCTTTCTGTTATCCCAAAAGTTTTTCCAAATAAATTATCACTTAGGGTTAAGAAAATTCACCTAAACCATGTGAATTTTAAGCGAATGGACATCAGAGTCCAACAAACTGTAGGGCAGTTCAGCAGTGTATGGAGTCACTGAGACATTTAGGTGCTTGAGCAGGCACTCAAAGTGCTCCTATTTGCACTGTGCTCCTCTGGAGCTATTTGGGTATTTGTGCATAGACACTTTCACCCTGACACAGCAACTCTGCTCGTGCATTATTTAGCCAGGGCACRCTGAGTTCTGTGCTCGAGCTAAAGCCCTCTGCCATACCTTATKGCATGTCAGGTCAGGATCAATGTGAATCGGGGCTTTTCACTTTTTGATCCAGTCTTGGTTTGCATCTGTTGGGGTCGTGGAGTGGAGAAAAGTGACCCCACACCTTCCTCCAAAATATGGCATAAAATACTGGTGGTACTGGTGAGAAAAGGCCACATAAATTAAATAAAGAGTCTAAAAATTCGAATAGCTTGAGTCACTCACTGGAAGTCACTGAAATATCTCTGTCAAGACCTGCATTTGGCTTGTCCCCATTACTGCCCTTCAGTTGGACATCAGGGCTGGGAAGAAGTGTCATTTCAGAAAAGCCACTCCAGCCCTCCCACAGCCTGCTGGCCACTTTGAATCCTTTTTCTAGACAAATACAGAAGAACCTCAGTCTTTTTTTTTAAGTTTGTGAGTTCCCTTCCCAGAGSAAAGGGCCTGAAAGTCAGTCTGTCCCTCTGACACTGAAACAGTCCCATATGCATCCAGGAGCACAGGCAAATTTAAACTGGAGCTGAACCTTCTGGCAGCATGGAAAAAATGAACAGTTACATGGCATAAATACTGCTGGACCAAGACCACCCTGCTCGGTGTAAAGCTGTTTTATGGAAAAGTGGAGCTCCAAAATTGCATGTTTCCTAAGRCTGTAATCTGAAATAGGTGCTGCACTTGCTTTTTGTAGTTACTGGGAGCCAGAGAGCTCCTGCCTGTCAGCAGAACCACCCCAGACCAATTCTGTCAGCAGCAGAAATGCACACAGCTGCCAAGCCTTCATGTAGTACAAGTGGCAGATCCAGCACACCAGCAGACTCATTTTGCCAAATGACTACTCTTATGCCCCTAATTTTTTTTTTTTTAAGTTTCTTTCTCTTTTTTTTTTTTTTTCTTCTAGATGCCCCTTTACCAACAAATTTTGCCATAATGGATGGATCTGGGATAGTGACAAATGTGAATGTGTTATCGACACACAGCACTCCAGCAGACGAGAAGGTAAACCTGAAATAACAAGACACTTTTGCATACTAACTCCAAGCTCTTTGTGTCTCATTCTGATCTTATTTTTTCGTTTTTCATTGAGAGAATCACAGTTTTTATTCCAAATCCCTAGATGGAACTTGGATTATGGTGTGGAAACTCACCTGAAAATAAATACACATATGTGCTTCCCCCCATCTCATGATTTTTTGCTCCGATGTCTTACTCTCTTTATATTAGCAACCCAAGTAGGACATAAGAAAATACTTGTAAGCTCTTGTGAAACAGGCACCATGTACAAGTTCTTACTTTACATGCRCCTTAAATTGTATGATGGGCATTAGGGAAACTTCTTAACTGTAGAAAAAAATGCCCTGGAATACATTAATACATTGCATGGGTCAGGTACTGATTTTTTTTTTTTTTAAGTTCTTAAGGAAAGAATTAATAGGGAATAAGACAGGCAAAACCAGTCCTGCATGCTAGCTGTAGTCAGTACAAAATAAATTACATAACCTTTCAATGTATTTGAGTACTTTTAATGATAATCTCAAGTTATTTGGGAATCTTTCAAACTGATATACCCTACATTCTGAGAAGCATTTATATATACTCCTTCAGGTATGTGAAAGGAAATGGATGAGGGTAAAATTCGAAGAAGAGTAATTACTGTCCTTCTTCCTCTGCTTCTCCTGTAAAATTTTAATCTGTCAGAGAAATTTGCAGGCAATATTCTGGGCAGTAATTGTGTAAGTCTAAACATACTTACCAGCAATAAATATTAAGAGAAGTTAAATTGTCTCCAAGTCCTGAGTAAGGTTTTTAAAAAYTGTTTTTCTCAGGAAATTGTACTGGTCAAAATAACATGATCATAGCACTAGAGCAGACAGAGAAGGAAACCTTGCCTTTGTGCTGTAACCTACMTGCAGCAAGAAAAAGGATAAACCACCCAAGGCAACAATAAATCAAGCTGGAGAGCAAATCCTGGACTAGCAAACTAAAATAAATCTAAATAACCTCATAAACTTTCCTTCTGATTACAAGCTCCTAATGTTAATAAGCAAGATATAATTTTCCCAGTGGTTTCTCTTGGATCTTTTCTCACTCTGGGTAAGATCCTCTGACCATCAGATTAGGCAGTCAAACTCAGGTTAGACTTTCACTCAAGGATTAGTACTCTGTATTTCAGAGTSACTCCAGAGGACTGAGAATAGCCAGAACCCTCTTAATTCTGAGTCTTTTGTAAAGTCAGCTTGGAGCATTAAAATTTGTGGCTTGTTGAATTATGGCCTTTGTTGACATAGACTCAATACTTCCTCAGAAAAAATATCATTCTCTGAAGTACATTGTGTTTGGCAAGTGGCTGGGACAAAATAACTTAAAATCTGTCTTTGAGGTTGAAATAAAGTGAGATCGAAACACTCTACACCACTTCACACATGCCAAGCTTTATCACCCCAAGGAAAGGGTTTGTCTTCCAAGAATTTTGGGCAGACTCCCTCCTCCCTTTCAACAGGCCTTGGGTTTTATTCTATCTAGATTGCAGTTTCTCAGCATTGAGTAAATAATCATGAAGGTTTTTTTCAAGTAATGTGCAAGCCTTTTCTGCCCCTGAGATGAGGGATCAGATGGCAGAGGTGTAGGGTACATTTCACATTCCATAGGTTAAATCCAAGAGCTAATTGTAAAGCCACAGGAAATTACCTTCCCAATGATACATTCTATGTTGTGACCTTTAACCAGGGATGTGTTGTTTGTATTTTAATAAAGCTTTCACAAAATGTGTTCCCTTTTTGCTAGGATTACCTTCATACTGCACTCCAGATGTGTATTTTGAGGGAAGATAATAGACAGTGAATTCTCTTGGCTGCTTTGGAGTTTTTTTTCTTCCCAAAACAAAGTATTTTCTTTTATCTTTGACAAATGTGAATGTGCTTTGTGTTGAAGTGCTGGGCCAGCTTACCTTACTAGAAATAGCATTACTCCTTAAAAATTTCTACAGTGACTGTGAAGTACACATGTGGTGGGTGTGGTAGTTTGCATTTTGTCATGGGTATAGACTAAACCCTTTTTGAGATTTTATTTTTAAAACTTGCTGTCCAACAAAGATTTGTGAACTTCAAAACATAACACTAGGCTCTTGTCATATACATACCAAAATTTTTTGTGCTGGGTTCAATCCACAAGAAATAGCAGTATTAGAATAGACTGAAAAAATCAGTTCAATCCTCTCAGCTCCTTTTCTGCATAGGAAGGTACAACAGAAATTGTGAAGTCTAGAATCTATCAGAAAGTACATGTGTGAGTCCTAGCAAATAGAGGACAGAAAGAGTCTCTTCAAAAGCAGGGTTTAGTCATGTAAAGCTTACTGCTAAAAGATGTCTGTGCTATTGCAGGACTCCCTCCTCTTGCTGAGCTGGCTATGTGTGGACAACATATGGAATTTGATGAAGAAAATTGTGAATGCATCTGTAGACATAAGTGTCCCACAGATTTCTTTCAAAGTAAAGAGAACTGCAGCTGCTATTTGTGTAGGGAGAGCCAGGAGAGCTGTGCTCTGAAACACAAGATATTTCATGCTGAAACCTGCAGGTAAGTGATCCTTGTCACTCAGTGTCTACCCTGCAACATCTGAATTAGCTGGCCTAGATATTAGAGGTRCAAGTGCTGAATTGGCTGGGAGGTCCACTTGGGATAAAATATCTTGCTGAAGTTATGGAGATAATAATAATAAAAATGGAGATTATATTTAAAATACTTATTTCATAAAAGGAATCTAAGGTTTATTTGTATTACAAGAAAATCTGGACAAGGCTGCTATTCAGCTGTTAATATATTTTTTTTTATTATTAATCTTTAGGGAATGATGATTAAAACTGTACTTCAACTGATACTAGTTTTTGCAGTGCGATAYCAAGTCTTGTACTCATAGGTAGGCAGAACAAATCCTGTGACAGCTGTTCTCTGCCACAGCTGAAGCAATCTCATGGATGGTTAGGGACAAAGGCTCCCTAAATCTGCACACAGAGCACACAGCACACTCCTTATCCAGTTTGTCCTCAGAGCAAGTAMTTTTCTGAACCTAATGCAATTTTATACACATACAAATCCACTCAACCAGCTCTGACTCCACTGAGAAACAGAAGAATTGTTCTGGAGCTATACTCCATGAATTTCCCTAATCTTTTTGTATTATTAGGTTTGAAGTTTCTGCCAAATCACACATAGAAAATGCCCTCTTAAAACACCTGTTTCCATGCATTAGTTAATTTTTTTAAATTTTTCAGAAAGCTTTRGTCCATGTAGAGACCCAGGAGCTTAGTCTCAAAGTTTATGTAAGGAGAGTCAGCATCCAGTTTCCCTGAGTACCCTGGCAGAGCTGCAGTTCACTGAGTGGTCACCCGCAGGGTCCACTCTCAGAGGTTTAACAGGTTTATTCACAGGGAAGATGCTGTGGAAGAAGTAAACTTTGCATCTTCAGCTTTGAAAATAAGGACAAACACAAAATAGTTGACAAGTATAGAAATAGCTAAAACAATCAGCAGAGTTGAAAGTGAGCATAAACAAATTGGTTATTTATGTGTTTTAGACAGGTGGGAGGGGAGCAATGTAATAATTTGTTTACATGAATCTAGAATCTAGAAATTACTGTACTCTGCACACAGGACTTTAATGCCAGACTTCCATGGCCACTATTTCTGCAGGAGCAAAGCTGAATCATGACGTGAGATAAACTCTTTGCACTATCCAGTGCTGACCCTTGGGACTCCACTGCTCTTAAGTAATGAAAGCATCACTTAAGTCATTACTTAAGTGGACAAATGGACCCCTGCAAGACATGTTGCTGTAGGCAAGAATTTTCAGGCAGCAAATTCTTGTCTCCCTGTGTTGTAGGCAGTCAACACTTTCCCAAAGAGCATCTAGGGAGCATTGAAATGTTCAATGAAGAAAAAGTTGAGGAATATGACAGTGAAGAATTGTCATATTAAAATGTTTATCTGTTTTGCTTTCTTTCTCCTTTATCAAACAGCTGTGAAGACAGGTGTCCATCCCAACCCAGAACATGCCCAACTGCCAAACCAGTGTGCTCCAGGCATTGTCGTTGTCCAAAGGAGAAGAGAGGTTCTCATGGGTCCCAGAGCAGAGAAACTCCTTGACTAAGCTTCCCTTATTCTTCAAAAATCCACTGCTTTGCAAAGTAGCTGTCACTGACTTTCAAACRATAGTAAACATGAACATCTTCCACRTTAATAGCAGAAGAATTAATCCAGTCTGCATCTATTTATTAGAGTAATGACTAACTGCAGGTGAATCCTCTGGGACAYTGGTAAGAGGTAACAACAGCTGATGAATTTCTGGCTTCATGGAAGAAAGAGTGCCAAGTACCAGTTCAATGTTACATTATGGAAGATGAAGCTGTGTGTTGGAAATAGAGTCACAGTCTCCAGCCAGTCATTCAGAAACTGAGACTTGATAATCTTAGCCTCTGAATCCTTAGCTAATGCAGCTCCTGGGTAAAACTTTCTTCAGAAATTCAGTGTACAGAATTTGGCTTCTAATAGATTCAGCACTGAGTTATTTGATCTACTGTCCAGCTTTGATTATCATTTTGTGTTTATTGTACAACTACTGTCAGATGTGCCATATTTAAGTGTATATAAGAAAATAAATACATCAGTTATTCGAGTGGATTTGATTTTTCTCTGTAATTTCAAAACTCTGCCCAACAAAAAGAAAATATGCAAAACCCCAAAGTAATTTCAAGTAGAGTTTTCTTACGTTTGTTCCACAGACACTGGCTTCTGCCCAAACCCAGTTCGAAACAAGGTCACTTGACCTAGCATTTTCGGTTTTAAAAAAAAAAGCAATTTTTGCCATTTCTGCCTGACAGCATGTGTGATTTATTTATTTGTTCCTGGTGTAGTGCATTAATCTTCCTAAGGGGATAACAGTCCACTAGTGCTAAGTCTTCAGTGAATTTTGGAAAAGCACAGTTCACTAGAAGATGATTTTAGTTTTTGTTTACCATGCTATGAGAATATCTTCTTTGCACTGAAATTCCTCTCACRAGTGTGAGGCCTGAGTAACAATTCTTTAACCAGATCAAGTAAAAGGATGGTATTATTTTCTGAGGCACTGAAATCTGGTGTGAGCTAGTCCAGAGAAAATATTATGAGCAATAGGCCTGAACGGGAAGAGATATTCTTGACATCTGCATGATTTTTTCCCATTTGTTGAATTCTCCAATTCTATCCTGGGAACAAAGGGAGTGGAGTAAATGAAACAAATGCTACAGAGATGGARCGTTTGACATAACACAGGGAACAGGAAATGGAATTCTGATGTGAAACTAAGGKKTTTTTTTGTATCCATATAGGAAAATTAGATTRCTTTAAAATAAAATTGGAGCCAAATCCTGTAAGATTGATTGAATGGTTGGACAAAGCTCCAAACAATTTAACATGTCTTTAGTTTCAGTAAGGCATTTAGGATTTGATCCTGAGTGCACACTTCCCCATTCGTGAAAAACAGACTGTGCCTGGATGTCCAATGCAGGACTGAAGATCCCAAGGGATGGAGTGAGATGAGACTTTGCTATATCCATAGGCTTCTTTCAGTCTAAGCCTCTGGGTGACTTTAATCTTTTACCTMAAAATTTTGCTCTTAAATCACTTTAACTGTTAAACACTCAGGCAAATATTTTTGGTAGTGTTGTGGTGTAAGCCCAGCTAAGTAACAAAGTACCACACAGCTCACTTRCCCTATCACCACCGTAGTGGAGAGATTTGGAAAGAAAAGGTAWACCCCATGGGTTGAGGTAAGAACTGTTTGATAATTGAAACAAAATAAAATATAATAGCTAAAACAACAACTGTAATAATACTGAACATGGTGTTCTGTGGAATGGGATATCCTTTTGACATGTTTAGGTCAGCCAATCCTGGCTATGCTTCTTCACAGCTTCTTGTGCATCTGCTCTCTGTCAGAGCATRGGAAACTGAAAAGTCCATGATTTAGAGTAAGCACCACTTAGGAATAGCCAAAACATCAGTGTGTTATCAATATTATTCTTATACTAAATACATAACACAGCACTGTATCAGCTACTAAGAAGAAAGTTAACTCTACAGCAGCTCAAACTAGACAGATAACATGCTCAAACAAACAAGAATATGTAAAAATCACTGTTATTTCCACTGAATTTAACCCCCTACAAGATCTTCTCCTCAGAAGGATTTCCATTTTGCAGGAGCCATGTGCCAGAAAGTTTGTGGACTAAGAACAACTCTCAGGCTTACTATGAAGATGGAAAAGGAAATTTCTTGYGGTGACATTCACTAACAAGAGTGACTTAAGAAGCCAAGCCACATGTTTTTAATCCAGTTTGTAACTTCAATTCTCCTTTGAGGTTCTCAGCCCTAATTTCTAGAAGCCTTCTGAATGTACTTCTTCATGCTTCAAGCAGGATTGTCAGCTCTGGTACAACCTACAGGCATCTTACAGCATATTTCTTTCACAATAAACTCCTACCCCAGCAGATCATCTGCTCCTATGGCCCTGTGTCAGTCTCTGTATTACAGGGTGCTGCTYTTTGCCACCCTACTCTGCTAAAACTTAGAAAATTATCAAATCTAAAGCATGTAGAGAATATCTGTAACATTCACTGAAACACTATGTGGAAATACTCAAGAATATAAGCACAGTGCTGTCAAAAACAGTGCTGTGTGATTGGCTTCACTGCCACAGTCCCAAGAAGATCTGGATGCCACTAACTCCATGGCACAGTCATAAATCCTTTATGTGCAAAACAAAGCCTAAAAGGAGGGTCTGGGTAAGGATGGAAACACATACAGAAAATTAGGTTTTGGTGAAAATTTATAAAAGTTCCATGTTATTTTGTTGGCAAAATTCTGGATTTATCATTTAAAAATATTCAACAAACTCTAAAATAGAAATGCTTTATCTTATCTTTCATATTGATACATCAGATTGACTTTCAAATAGGATATTTAATATAACAATTCAGAAGAATTAAATGAGGTATGCTRAATTCATAGCAGATCTGGTTTTGACTGATGTCATTAGTTTTTAACCTATGACTAAATGATCTTAGAGAGAAGGTTATAGAGCAGTGGAATGCTCTCTTTGAAGTTTGAAAGGCCTTTTATTACTGTGTTCAGCATGACTTGCTTTTTAGGCATATGGACATGATTTACAGATTTCATAGCCAGAATAATAATGCTAAAAATTCCTGTTGCAGTGTGTCTTAATTTTTATATAGTGAGGGATGTCTTTAATGGGATATTTGTATTACATATGTAATAGGAATGAGAATACTTAAATAATAATTGTTAATTCTAAATAGACACACAAAACTTCTCAAACCATCAGTTTTTATGAGTAGCTAGCTTTCACTTATACGTGCTTTTTTGCAGGCAGGGGACAAGGAAGAATATGAATCAGAATAACAGCTAAATATGCACACTGCACTGAAAGAGTCAGGAAATATTTATCTACTTGCAAAAACCATACTTGACTTCCACAAGGACAGAGGTACGTGTGATCTTACCAAATGCTGGTGACATGGAAGAAACTCAAGCACATCTTGAAAATATTGATCTCATTTTCTTCCAAAGCCATCACAGGTCATGTGCTGTGACATTGCTTATAGCCAGAATTATTCATGGCAGGGTTGACAGAGCACATATAAATCCTGTCATACTCATATACACTGCAAACATCTAAATCTATACGTATCCCTTGGGCATCAATTCCAGCTGACTTGTAAGGTCCCTTCCTGTATTCCAGCGAAAACAAATGTGAATCTGCTTGGGTTTATTTTTTGTTTTCTTGTACCACTGGAAGTMAGGATTTATGCTATTAAAGTTATTTTGCTTTAGAGTGGTGTAAAAAAAAGAAAAGCAAAATCTTGAGAACCCAAAACTGAATCTGTGGAATCTTCTTCAGCTGCCTGTTTCCTTTGTATTTTTTAAATAAGGGGTAAACTCATTTCAACTTTAAAATAACAAAGAAGTTGTCATCTTTTAATTCTGGACTTGTGGAGCAAATTGTTCTTTCTTAAACTACAAGGTGGATACCAGGCCATGTAAATCTATGTTCTCATTTATTAAAGTCCACATTAAAGAACCAAACAAGCAGGGGTTAAAAGTGATGTACTACCATTAATTTTATTTATCAAACTCCCACATCAGCAGTTACTTAAAAACCTCACTTAAATCCTTTAACTCTGGGGTAAAAAGTCTGTTTTAAATTAAGATAAAAGGAAAGTGCTTCTTTGGCCAATAAAACAAAATGAGTACACAAAATAATGTGTCAGGGCTTGGTCTGCATTTTGACTTCTATGCCATTAACACCCTTCTTTGTTTCCACGTTATCATACTTTACAATACCACTCAATGTGAAAGGTCCTTCCAGGCTGAGAACATARAGGATCCATAATTTAGCATGAACTGTTTCCTTTCTCAAAGATCCAAAGGTACCTTTAAAATGTTTATGGTTAAATAACCAATGATTAATGATTTAACCAACTAGAATTTGGTACTTTGGTTTGTTTTATCATATACTATATTTTTAAAGATACAACAGTAGTTATAMAAAAAATATCTAGTTATGAAGTGTGATTATAAATTAAGAGCCAAAAAAAAGAAGTTATCAAAGTATGAAGCATCTCACTTAGCCTTTTACCCCACTTTTTAATGCTAAGTGGTATTTTTAATTGGTGAAGACTATCTCTGATATGTGGTTTAGGATCACAGGTGCAGCTGAAATGGTAATGCAAGACCCCCAGACTTACCATCAGTTTCTGTTAGGTGGCTCAWTGGCAAGGCATTTGTCCAAACCTTTCCCTTGGCCCCAGATCCCACTGTCTGTGCACACTCATGGGCCTCTTTGCTCTTCTTTCTTGGGAAAGTGCATGTTGATCCCTATTAATGGACTAAGTGTTCAGAATTTTGTTTAAATATTCAAATACACTTGCATGGAGGTTATTTTGATTCAGTCCTGAGAATAAAATCACCAATATAAGTGATGAAACACAAGAAAAAGCTTAACACATCCTAGAGGACTATGGAATGCTTCTTAACAATACTSTCTTTGCAATAAACATCAATATTTTCCAGTAGCTCAGTTATGAAGGTGAAAATATAATGACAATCCCTTGAAAATCATCCAATCTCTCTATTCCTCCATTTCCCTGTGCATCCCATTTTAAATAGACCCACAGTTCACTCCTAGTTTTCATAGGTAAGAATGCCTCTGCCTCTCTACCTGTCCCCTGGAGTACAATCACCTTTCACCTTGCCCTGCTCCACATCTATTAAATTAACCTCAGAGCAGTTCTTTCCGACCTGCAAAAGGTTTGAAATGTGTGGCTTCCGTTTCACACCTCAAGAATGGTTTGTATGCCTCCCTGAGTCTTCTCAACTCTAACTGTCAAATAAAACTTACTGCTTCCTCCACAGACCTTAGCTTGTTTTTATCTGTAGATATTCAAGGTTACAGTAACAGTATCAAATTAAAGAAACTCTGTCCTCATTAAATGGATTTTAAAGTATAATTAAAATTAGTTATTCTTGCTTTACAGTTCAAATCTGGATACAAACTATCAATATATTGGACAATTCATGCTTAGTTTTTACAAGAAACTCAATTTTCTCTAAATTCAAACTGTAGAATGCAGGCAGGTGCTACTGTATTGGGTATAATGACTACAGAAAACTGTGCTAACCATGTTCTGGAGCATTTTTGTGGTAGGAAATAAAACCTACCAGATACGGGCTCTTCAGCTTTGCACCCAGGTATTTTGCGTCGCCATCAGGACGAACACATTTTTAAGTTTA